GCCCTGTTATTATTGTAGCTCACAGGGATCACAACTGGGTAAGATTGAAGATTATTTTTCTCATCCAGTAATGTGCATAGCACATAGAGATGAAGTTTCCAGATCAGTACCAACATGATAGCTTCATATCGTATGTCATCTTGAGCAATATATCTTATTATCAAGTTCTGATAATGGCCAGTAGCACTATAAATAGCCTGTAATGTTTGAGAGTATGTAGTAGGGAGGCTGCTTGTTGGTTCCTGGCTGCTCAGCCCTGAAATAATCACACAAAAACCATATTAATTAAACCACTGCTTAGCAAAATAGCTCTAGCTTCTTATTGGCTAACTCTTACATATTAATTTAACCCATTTCTATTAATCTGTGTATTGTCATGTGGCTGTGGCTTACCCGGTAAAGTTTCAGCACATCTGTATCCAGCGAAGGCTACATGGCTTCTCCCTGACTCCGTCTTTCTTCCTCCCAACATTCAGTTCTGTCTTCCCTGCCTAGCTAAGTTCTGCCCTGCTATAGGTTCAAAGCAGTATCTTTATTCGATAATGGTAATCATAGCATATAGAGGGAAATCCCACATCACCAGTATATAAAACCTCACTGACCAACAGCTGCAAAAGAGGTAACACATTCCAGGCACTGGAATATTTCTTTTTAGGCCTTGATGTCTACTAGGAGCTAATATTTTTCATGGTCCTCACACATGGCTGTCATAGAATGAAGGTACAGTCATAAGAAATGAAGTGGCAATTGTTAACGAGAAACACAGCCACCAGTGTAACTGGCAGCAAGCATTTTGCTGATAGTGGTGGTACATCAGGTACCTCTGCTCAGCCAGCCTTAGAGACAAGGGTAAAACTTTGAAAGGGAAATTAGGAAGTTAATATTTCCAGATACAAGAAATATTTGTGCCTATGCAATCATAGTATATACTTTCCAGTTTGAATACATATTGGGATGACTGTCTATGTCCAGAATTAAGAGTACTAGTGGGAAATGCATGGAATCAGAAAATAAGTATTAAAACATCTATGCTGACTGTGCTAACAGTTGTGGTCCATAGCACAAACATAAATGCTACAGTAAGCATAATTAAACACTCGCAATTTCAAAAGCTTGTATCAGCTAAACATTTGTATGTTCATGATGCTAAGAAGGTCAAATACACTTTGGGGGTCAGGAAAAACATAAGAAAGTCCTTTCTACTGGATGCTTAAATTCTTTGGGGAGTTTGGAAATAGATCTTGCCATAGTATAACTTTGTAAGTACTAATATAAGAATATCAGCGGCCTATTTTGATAGTAAAAGCTAAAGTTAAGCACTTCTCTTGTTTATTTTAAACATTATTTGAGATGTGAGGGTCAATAAAAGAAAGTTGCTTTGGAGAAGTGAAAGAATAAATGGAGAATTGTTGGAGGAAGGGCTGCTTGTTCTTCCCGGCTGCCTGGCTAGCTTAGACCTGAAATAATCACACAGAAACTGTATTAATTAAATCATTGCTTGGCCCATTAGCTCTAGCTTCTTATTGGCTAACTCTTACATATTAATTTAACCCATTTCTATTAATCTGTGCATCATCACAAGGCCGTAGCCTACCAATACATCTATCTCCGGCAGCTCCATGGCATCTCTCTGACTCTGCCTTCTTTCTCCCAGCATTCAGTTTCATCTTGCCTGCCTACCTAAGTTTTGCCCTATCAACAGGCCAAGGCAGTTTCTTTATTCATTAACCAAGAAAAGCAACACACAGACAGAAGGACCTCCCACACCAGGGAATCATCTTTTACACCCAATGCAAATGTATGTAGGCAATAATTGTATAGGAAAAATATGACAATGAAATTTGGGTGAGAGAGGGCAGTGACATTATTTCTGCCTTGTGTTCATTAATCTCTTTGTTCTTTGTGGGAAACCTAACTGGCATCAGTGTCAGAGTTGGCTCACAATTTTCTTGGATAATTATGTTAATACCGAGGAAAATTGGGAGCTTTACCATTTGTTCAGTGTATTAAGGGACAAGATAGTGTTTACCTGTGTGTGCATGTGTGTGTATGCATGTATGTGTGTGTGCATGCATGTGTGAGTATGTGAGTATGTGTTATATGCATGTGTGAACACTGTTAAGTACTGAAATAAGACTCATTTAGATACTCATCAGATATGGCCAGCAGAATTAAATTAAAAGGAGACTCTTTCTGAAAACATCCTAAGAGGATAAAAGGCTGTTTGTATTATCATAGTTTAGACAAATGATTTAAACTCTTATTCTAGAAGTGAATCAGAATATAGAAGGATGAAATGTCTCATGCATTGTTTAGAAAGTAAAAAAAATGTATTAAATTGATAAAAGAGGACAACCAAGTGTGCTTGAGGAAAAGGTGTGCTAAGAGAAGAGCGTTCCCCGAATGATGGCCGCACACGTATCCTTTCTCCCTTCCCTAACTACTTTCTGTGCTGAAGGAGACACAGAAGTATTTACTTTTATAAACTACAGCCAGTCACTTAATATTGGCCATATAAAAGGCATTTCCTGAATTTATGTACATCAGACGTGTGTGTGTGTGTGTGTGTGTGTGTGTGTGTGTATAGTTGTTTTATATTAATTTTGGAGTTGGCCAAAGATGTACTTGAGGACCAATGATGGGCATAAAGAATTTACAGTTTTACTCAGAAGTTCAAGTTAGTCTCCTCAAAAATATTTTGCCAATAGAAACCTGAGGCTGAAACAAATAGGAAAGAAGGAAACAACATAATGTTTTCAGATACTTCTTTTGTATAGCTAAATTAGGCTTTGACATGTATTTTCTAACTTTTCACTGTATTGTAGCTGCCAGGAGGCAGGGAACCCTGGATCTGTCCTTCAGAGGCCTGTGCAGTATTCAGGGACCTCAATAAACAGTTGAGTGAAGGACTGAATAGTGATAAAATTTTTTATCTATGTTGGCTATAACAACTGTTAAAAATAATAAAACGGAGTGGTAATCATAAGAATTCACCCTCGAAATTTGTAATTTACAATTATTAACTCAGATACACACCATGTACTTAAATATTGTGTAGGACAGTGGAAAATTGGATACACTATACTTACAAAGATTTAGGGATCTAATTATATGTTCTTCTTTTGTTTGGCTAATTATGTCAGGATTTGGAAAAATACATGAGAAAAAGTAAATAGTAGAACATTTGCAATTGGCAATCTGGATAGTGAGAATCTACTTATGTACAGAGCTCTTTCTTCACCAAAAAGGTGTGGCAATGGCATGAAAGTTCCTCTATACCTCAGAGTAGTTTCACCAAAGTATTTACAGAAGCAGCAATTATTTGGTTACTCTATGATTTCAAGCATTGTTTGTACAAAAGTTATTTACTCTTTGAAATGCTTCCAACACATGAAAGCTAAAGATGCAGAACAGCTGCAGATGGAGCTGTTTGCACAGAGCTGGCCTCGCATGTGTGGGCCCTGGGTTCACACTCCTGCATCTAATCCTGACACTACGAACACAGAGACCAGCAAATCAGAGGTTCAAGGGGCTCCTCAGCAGTGGAGTGAGTCTGAGGCAGGTTTGGCTTAACCAAGACAATATTTTAAAAAATGAAAGTTAGTGGTAAACATATGCTTACAGAAGTGCCTGACACTTATATTGAAGACAAACTTAAGGAATACATAGCTACTTACCATGGATGTTTTTAATTTTTAATCTAATATTTAAAATGGAAATATGATATTTTAGAGTTGTCCGGTCTTACGTTTGCTGTTCATGGGTTGAAACAATTTTATTTGAACACACCTATAATCCCAGTACTCAGAAGACTGAGGCAAGTAGATTCTGCAGCAATACCTTGTCTCAAAAATAAATAAAAGCAAAGAAGAAAAAGTACCTTTATAAGTCTTAGGGAAGATTAATTAAATTTTATTCCAAAAGACAATTACTTGAAAATAAAGAATATGTTGCTTTGTCCAGCCAACACTTGACTATTTTGTACTGCCTGGCATTTTCCCAATACCTATGGTTTATATACTTCTTTCCCTCACCATACTGCACTATGTTCAGAGAGTTTTGTTAGTACTGGTTACCCTGGATGGACAGGATTAGATAATGACAGAAATCAAAATTATTATTTTTTCTGATAATACTTAAGATAGTGTGATAAGTACTTTTGGAATCATACAAAATGTTAAATAGTCACCCTTTTAAATTATCTTATAATGTGTTATATTAAACTACAGATGTGTTCCCGGTCAACGGCATATGAAATATGGGCGTAATTGTGCATGTGTATACATACATGTATTTCTCTCACCTATGTACATTCCTCTTGCTCTCTCTCCCCCTTCTCTAGTTTAAACACACTCATATGCATTATCTACTATCTGAAACACTTACCTTAAATATCTTGATAAAGTTTATAAGGAATCAACATTTTCTTTGCTAAATAATACTATTGATGATAATCAAAGAGTTACCCCTAGAAGTCTCTTTCCAGCTTAGCTTGGTTAATTTTATTTCCCCCGAGTGACTATGTTGACTTGAAGTAGAAGCGATGATGATCTAACTTAAGAAATCAGCAATGTTTCATAAGTTGACGAGCCTCCTCTGGCTTGTGTAACTAAAATCTCATGATGAGCTAGGAGCAGAAAAATACATGTCATCATATATTAATGTAATCTAATAAGTTAAAATTCATGGTTTTATTACGTATTGCTTTCTATTTCTGGAACTAACCTGTCTGAGCAAATCGTGGGTGAAGAATACCACGATGAGCGCTGGAGGCAGACCAGAGTAAAATCATGCTGTTTTTCTATTTTCTTCCCCTAAAACATAGCGTGCTTTAGTCTCTGCGGTTCCTTATCTTCCATAAAGTGAAATTTTGCATGTTTGATTAAAACGACTATATTTGATCTTTGGACTAATGAGTTCAATGGAAACATGCATGCTATTAAGACATTTGTGTTTTTTACAGCGTTATCTTAGTGACGATGCTTGTATATTATTTCCAGATCAAAGAGTGGCTCTGTTTAAACTGTCAGATGCAAAGAGCTCTAGGAGGTGAACTGGCTCCAATCCCATCCTCACCCCAGCCCAGCCCGAAGGCTGCCTCTGGACCTCCTGCAGTCGCGGCCAGCAAGCCACCGGTACCATCACAGCCGGCTTCCCCCAAGAAGGAACCTCCACCCAAACAGGACAGCCCCAAACCACCTGAGTCGAAAAAGCCACCGCCTCTGGTGAAGCAGCCAACCCTTCATGGACCAACCCCAGCTACAGCCCCAAAGACTCCAGTGGCAGAGGCCTTACCTGAGCCAGCCCCTCCCAAGGAGCCTTCTGCACCCCTACCTGAACAAGCCAAGGCACCTGTTGCAGATGTTAAACCAAAGCAGCCCAAGATGGCAGAGCCGCGCGCTGACGTTCAATCTTCAGCAGCGGCAACAAAGCCTGATGTTCTGAGCTCTCAAGTGCAGCCACAGGCTCAAGTGCAAACAGCCCCTCCTTTGAAAATGGACTCTGCCAAACCTTCCCAAAGTTTCCCACCAACAGGAGAAAAAACCACCCCATCTGATTCTAAAGCCATGCCTAGGCCTGCATCAGACTCAAAAATTATTTCACATCCGGGGCCCAGTTCTGAGAGCAAGGATCCAAAGCATGTTGATCCAACTCCCAGAAAGGAAGAGCCTAAGAAAGCACAAACCAAGATGAGTCCTAAACCAGATGCCAAACCAGTGCCAAAAGGGTCACCGACACCCTCTGGCCCACGACCTACCCCTGGTCAAGCTGCATCCCCATCTCACCAGCCCCTAAAGCCTCAGGAGCAACCAAGGCGTTTCAGTTTGAATCTGGGTAGTATCACCGACGCCCCCAAATCACAACCTACAACTCCTCAAGAAACTGTGACAGGGAAGCTGTTGGGGTTTGGAGCATCCATCTTTAGCCAAGCATCAAGCTTAATTTCCACAGCAGGCCAGCCCGGACCTCATCCACAGACTGGGCCGGTGGCCCCAACGAAGCAAGCCCCTACTCCATCAGAGCCTCCTGCAGCTCCTAAATCCACAGGTCAGCTCCCACCAGCACCTGCCAAGGCGCCACTTGTGAGGAAGGAAACAAAAGCCCCAAACGCTGAGAGCTCAGAGTCCAAACCTGAGCAAGCTCCAGCAGCGAAGAGGCTAGAGAAAGACAAGAAGCCCCCACCCGGTAAGGTCAGCAAACCTCCACCCGCCGAGCCTGCAAAGGCCCTGCTCACCCCCAAACCAGACAAGACCACCAAATCGGAGGCAACCTGTCCGCTCTGCAAAACTGAACTCAACATAGGCTCTCAGGATCCTCCCAACTTCAACACTTGCACAGAGTGCAAGAGTCAAGTGTGCAATCTCTGTGGATTTAACCCAACACCCCACTTGACTGAGGTAAGCAACACCTATATTACATATGGATGAGAATATATGTCAGTTTGTCCTGAAATTTCTGAGCAATGAAATATGTTTCTACTGAAAAAGAGATATGAATATTGATAGCTTGGAAGAGGTTAAAATTGCCTCCATCCACACACACTGTTATGAGTTCTTGATCTCTGTGCTTTTATAGGTTATGACACAAAAAGTAAGAGATGGGCTGTACTAGAAAATTAAAATGATAATGACCTCAGTATTTTATGAGTTAGAACCCTTGTCAAGGCTCTTCCGTTTTCATATGGGAAGTTCACAAAAAGTTGTAATGCATAGTTGTCATTTTCTACAACCCATCTCTTGTCTTTAATGCAGTGCATTGCTGAAATTCATCTTGCCTTCCTTTGATCTCGGGATCTTGCCGTTCAGCCCAGGCTGGCTTGGAACCCACCATCCTTGCTTGAGCCTCTGGGGTGGTGTCACGCTATGGCCTTTAATGCATTTTCAAACAGAACTTTAGTTGATTAGACTCATATACAATATAATCAAACACGGTTAAAACCTTGGTGTCAGTTAAGGATACTGTCTAGTAAGGTTAGTAGTTCATGTGTGGTTGTTTAAATTTTCTCTATATTGGTTGCGTTGTCTGCTGAGATAATAGAGTACATTTCTGGGAGCTGTGGAAGGCAAATGTCCTTCTGCGACTAGTGAGAAGACACGCTAACGAGCTGATGTCAAGAACACTCTCTCTACAACGTAAATAACCAAAATGCAGTTGGTGACGCTCTACCTGATCATATACCTGGAAAAGAACGAGTGGATAGGAATTGGTATTATGCTAAGGCAATATTAGAGTCTTTGGATCATTACTATGTTAGATAAATAAAACATTGCCTTAATAAATATTTCAAAAATTAAAATAACTGTTCATCACCTTATATCATTTTATTATACTTTTTTACATTTATTTATTTATTTAAATAATTATTTTACTTCTTGGCTACAATTTCCCCTTCGTCCTTTCTTCCTGGTCCTTCCCACCAACCCACCCAGCACTATCGACTTCTCCTCCTTTGTTACTCTTCAAAAAAGGGCAGACCTCCCATGTCTACCAACCAGCTATGGTAAATCAGTAAATCAAGTTGCAGTGAGACTAGACACCTCCTCTTTCATTAAGGCTGGACTAGGTAGAAGGAAAGGGTTCTGAACCAGACAACAGAGTCAGAGACAGTCTCTGCTCCCACTGTTAGGAGTCCCACAAGAAGATGAAGCTACACACCTGTCACATATGTTCAGAGGGCCTACATCAGTCCCATGCAGGCTCCAATCTCTGTGAACTGAAGCACGATAAATAAAAACTCAGAGACAGAAACTGGGATTAAACCTGAAGATCAGAAAAGCAAAGCAGCCAGCCACTGCCTCTTACCTCGACCTCAGTCCAAAATAGTGATCCTGCCTCCAGGAACCTCAGAATGAGACTGTATCTGAGAGCTGTCTCCTCCCACTTTACACTACTCTCCAGTCCTGGGATTAAGGGTGTGCACCACTACCATCTGGTTTCTATGGCAAGCTGGAGTGGCTACTGAGATTAAGGTGTGTGGTATTGCTTCCCGGTCTGTGAGGCTGATCAGTGTGGCTGTTTTACTTTTCTGATCTTCAGGCAAGCTTCATTTATTACAATACAAATGAAATAACACTACAGTGAACTCCTATGGGCCCGGGTTAGTTGATTCTGTGGGTTTTCTTTTGAATGTCCTTGATCCCTCTGGCTCCTACAATCTTTTCTCCCCCTCTTCTGCAGGCCTCCCTGAGCTCTACCTAATGTTTGGCTGCGTGTCTGCATCTGTTTCCATCAGTTGCTGGGTGAAGCCTCTCTGATGACAATTGTACTAGGCACCTATCTATGAGTATAGCAGAATATTATTTGGCATCATTACATTGGTTCTTTTCCTCCAGTCATGTTTGGTGTATTCTAGGTCTCTGGGCCATCCAGCCTCTGGGTCCTGGAGCTCCAGGCAGTGTCAGGGGTATGTTTACTCCTGGCATGGGTTTTAGGATATATCAGTTGTTGGTTGACCACTCCCTCGATCTTTAGGCCACTCTTTCCCCAGCAAATCCCATTGGCAAGACAGATGGTGGGTCAAAGGTTTTGTGACTGGGTTGGTCTCCCAATCCCTCCACTCAATGTCATGTCTGGTCACAAGAGATGGTCAGTTCAGACTATGCATTTCTAGGAGTCTTAGCGGGGGTCATCTTGTAGGTTCCTGGAGATGCCCCCACAGCAGGCTTTTACCTGACTCTAAAATTCCCCCTTTCTGGTAGTCTTGTTCAATACTCTCCCCATCCATCCACTCTCCAACCTGATCCCTGATCGCTCACTCATCTTGTTTTCATCCCCACCCGCCCTCGGTCCACTCATGAAATCTCTCCTATTTCCCTTTCCCGGTGAGATTCGGGCCTCCGCCCAACCCTTCTTGATAATTGGTCTCTCTGGGTCTGTGGACTGTAACATAGTTATGCTTTATTTTACAGCTCATATTCACTTAGGAGTGAGTACATACCATGTTTGTCTTTCTGAGTCTGGGCTACTTCACTCAGGATGGTTTCTCTAGTTGCATCCATTTGCCTGCAAATTTCATGATGCCATTGCTTTTAACAGCTGTGTAATATTCCATTGCATAAATGTACCACATTTTTTTTAAGATTTATTTTTTTCATTATGCAGTGTCCTGCCTGCATTAATTGCATGCATACCAGAATAGGGCACCAAATCTCATTATTGATGGTTGTGAGTCACCATGTGGTTACTAGGAATTGAACTCAGGACTTCTGGAAGAGAAGCCAGTGCTCTTAACCTCTGAGCCATCTCTCTAGCCTGGCATTTTTTTTTTATTAATTCCTTGGTTGAGGGACATCTAGGTTTTTTCAGGTTCTGACTATTATGAATAAAGCTGCTATGAACATAGTTGAGCAAGTACCTTGTGGTAGGATTGGGCATCCTTTGGGTATATGTCCAAGAATAGTATTGCTGGGTCTTGTGGTAGATTGATTCCTACTTTTTTGAGAAACTGTCACACTGACTTCCAAAATGGCTGTACAAGTTTTCACTCCTACCGGCAATGAAGGAGTGTTCTCTTTGCTCCACAGCCTCTCTGGCATTAGCTGTCACTTGTGGTTTTGATCTTAGCCATTCTGACAAGGGTAAGATGGAATCTCAGAGTTGTTTTGATTTGCATTTCCCTGATGACTAAGGATGTAGAGTATTTTTTTAAGTGTTTCTTGTCCATTTGAGATTCTTTTGAGAACTTTCTATTTGGATCTGTATCCCATTTCTAATTGGATTGTTTGATATTTTGACATCTAGTTTCTTGAATTCTTTATTTTGGAAATCAGTCCTTTGTCAGATATGCGGTTGATGAAAAACTTCTACCATCCTGAGGGTACTGATTTGTCCTATGATGGTGTCGTTTGCCTTACAGAAGTTTTCAGTTTCATGAGGTCTCATTTATTAAGTGTTGTTCTTAGTGTCTGTGCTACTGGTGTTATATTTAGGAAGTAGTCTCCTCTCCCAATGTGCTCAAGGCAATTTCTCATTTTCTATTCTATCAGGTTCGGTGGATCTTGATTAATGTCGAGGTCTTTGGTCCATTTGGCTTTGAGTTTCGTGCAGAATGATAGATATGTGCATCACTTTTACACAAATCAAATCTACTAAAGGGCTCTTTCAGTCCACTGTGTCTGATCTTGTGATTCAATCAGGCAAAGCTGAAGAGGCTTGGATGAGACATGTCAAAGACTCCTTAGGGTTGGTCTTATTATTTGGGCTCTGATTTTTTAAAAATACACTTTAATTAAAATAAAATTGCCTCACTTTCCCTTTTCCATTTCCTCCCTCAGCCTCTCCCACGTTCAGGTACCCCCCTCCCCGCTTCCAACCTTTCTTCAAACACAGGTAAATGGATGGACCTAGAAAGACTATCCAATTCTTTAATAAACAAGCATAGAATGTTTTAGTTGCTCACTTTGAAAGCACAGGAGGTTGCCATGACTTTGCTAGCACCATGTGTAGGCACCTTCACTGCAGGATTCAGCAGGTTTGTTTTCTCAGCTGTGATGAGCCTTGCTAATTAACATTCATCTTTCAAGGCAGATACATATTGTTTCCTCAGCCCTTTGTGAGTGTTAACTGTTCTTATTGCCTGCAAATTAACTCCAGTATAAATGTAAAACACAAAGCAAAATTTAATTTCCTCATAGTTTTAGAAGAGCTTTTGTGTGTGTGTGTGTGTGCGTGTGTGTGTGTGTGCATTCATCCACAGTATAATTTTTGTTTTCCTAGTACAGCTGCATTTATCTAAGCTGTTAAAAAATTGTACCCTTTAATGAGGAGCCTTTAAATAGCTGTAAAGCAAAACAGCACTACTGAAAACAAAGCTGTAATTTTTATATTTTCTTAACACAAACATGCATATAGAGCAAGAGACGGATTATGTCTTATAACACACATACAGTGTTGCATATATCTGTTTGTATACACATCACCATTATTTGTTTATGTACTAATGTGCATTTACCACATTTGACCTATCATGATTATTAAGATTCTGTCAGAGTTTGCAATAGTGACATGAGGATTCCTTGAGTACAGAGTCAGGAACTCTTCCTGGACAAGCTCTGGTGTTCTGTGTGTTGGTTAATCGTGCCTTGAAGGGGTTAGAGTTTGGAAAGGAGATTATTTGAATAGATTACAGAATTAGCTAGCATGTGTGGAACTTTAATTTTTGATAACTTGAAGGTGTAAGCTATCTAAAGTTTTTGGATAGTTTAAGTTAAATCCTATTTTAAATATGGCCCAGCAGTGTTTTTGAGGTTTCTGTCCCACCCGGTTCCCGCAATCATTAAGTCCCAAAGAAATCACACAGAGAGTCTACATTAGTTATAAACTCATTGGCCCATTAGTTTAGGCTTCTTATTAACTCTTATAACTTACATTAGCCCATTATTCTTGTCTATGTTAGCCA